AGGCAGGGGGAAGAGGGTGGGTGGAAACAATTAGTGCTCCCGTGTCGCTGGGTCGCGGCGCCTTTGTCATCGCGGCCAATTTCCTCGGCCCGCAGTCCCCCCCCTCGGGGCCCTCCTCCGCGCGGGAGTTAATAGTGCGTGAGCGCCGGGCTAATGGAGATTGCAAGTGACAGGAGCTGTGAATTTGGGGACGGGGGTGTGCAAAAGGCCAGGTTGAAAGAGTTTTTTCTTTTCTCTCCTGCTCCGGCCCCGCGCGCCGCGCGCCCCTCCGGACGGACCGTGCTGCCCCTCCGCCCGGCCCACCCACCCCGACACCTTCTGCAGCGCCTTAATTATCCGAATTAGGGCTTTCCGGTAGCTGGGGCTCGCCCTGCCTCGCTGCCCGCTGGTGCTGCCCTTCCCTCTCCTCCTCCTCCAGCGCTTTCCCTTCCTCGGATGTCGCGCGGCTCCCTTTTCCCTAGCAAGCAGCGAGGGTTTCAGCATCACGTGTGCCCGGCCCCTTGGCCCTGGGGGGCTCTGGGGAGTGGAGCTCAGTGGTGTCCCCTGGGCACCCTCGCTGGATGGTCCCGATGGCCTTTGGCTGATGGGGATCCAAGGCTGGAGGAGACCCCTTGTCTGCATCCCTTGGCTTTAGCTTCCTGTCCTGGGGACGTTTCCTCTGCCCTGGTGTTCTCCTGGGATGTTTCTCCCAGTTAGCCCATCCTCTCTGGTTGGACAACTGCTGCTTTGGGACCATCAGCCAACATAGCCAAAATGATGATGATGGAGGGGAAGGACATGGTGCACCAAGGTCTCCTGCAAGCACCAAACCTGGCGCGGAGACTCCGGGCAGAGGCAACTCCATGGTCTCAGTGTCCTCAGGGGAACGGGTGGCAAAAACGTGTCCCCTGTGGGTGGCTTCCCAACAGCTGGGGCTGGGGAGCGAAGAAAAGAGCCCAACAAAACCCTGCAGGGGGAGGGCGGGTGGATGCTGGTGGAGAAGCCAGGAAAGGGGAATGAAAGGCGGGATGGTCACTTTGGGAAGAAAGGGCACAAAGGCGGCCGGATTGGTGGCCCTGCACAGGCAGCCCTGGCCATGGGGCTGGTGGGATGGGCACCGGGGACCACCCATGGCCGCGGTCACTGCCGGGAGGCCCCGCTCGCCAACTGGCCAGGCCTCTCCGATCCTATTAGGATCATGGGGAAATCAGAGGGGCCGGAGCGAGAGGTGAGGGCAGGGGGAAGCCCGAAGGGGCCGTGCAGGGTCAGTGGCGGCGGCCCCGCCATGGCAGGCGTTACGGCGCTTGACACATCGCGGAGATGATCAAGGAGCCCCTTGCGCCACCGGCCCCGCTCTGCAGCACCTGCGAAGCTCCTCGCTGACCCTTGCGCCCTGGGACCTTCCTCTGCTCATTTGGACTTGGAAACCTGCTGTTTCCCATTTGTTTTCCCCATGTTTCACTTCCCAGGTGGCTTTGCCGCTTGGGGTCTGTCCCTGGCAGCCTCAGCATCCCTTGGGAACCTCATTTGCCACCAAAAGCAAAGCCACCGAGTGGGCAGGTCCTCTGCCATGGGGGTTGGCAGCTGTGCCCATCACCCCAGCACCCACCTGCAGGGCTCCTTGTGGATGTCCTGCTCCTCAAATGGGGGTGTGGAGCAGCATCCCCAAGACTGCTGCACGTGGTGGCCCCACTGGTGACTTCCTTCCTCGGTCCGGAGGGACCCCGGCTTGGCCCCATTTGGCTGGTGCCCGCGGGATGGCTCTGAGCTGCCTTTGCCTGTGCTGGGACCTTCCTGGGGCTGGGCAGGTGCAGGACCTGAGGCAGGTCCCTGTGCTCTCCCGGATGCTTTTCCAGCAGGATGCACCCAGCTCGCTATCCTGGCAAGCATCAGCCCTGCACTGGGCTGCGTTTGCTCCTTCGCTTGCCTTGGCTTTTGCTAGCTGCATGTTCGCAGAGGGACATCCTTTGGGGACAAGGTGTGGATGGGGAAAAGTCCCTCAGTCCATCCCATACAAGCAGCTCTGGATCATTTTCTCTTGACATTTCCCCCCTCTTTGAATGCCAAGAGGGGCTGGAGCGGGCAGTGGTGCTGGGTACATGGTGTGGGTCCCGTGGGCACTCAGCCTGCTCACACTGTCCCCTGTGTCCCCCCCCCTGCAGCCTACAGGACCGTGTGCGGTGTCAACGGGCCCCTCGTGGTGCTGGACAATGTCAAGGTGAGGGGGCTGAGCTGCACGGGGGAGCGTGGCCCGTCCCCGTCCCCATCCCTGTCCCCTCCCGGGGTGCCGAGCTCCCTCCTCCGGACGGAGGCTGCAGCAGAGCCTCTTCCAAGGGGAGCAGCGCAGCCTGGGCTCGGCATGGCGGGGGCTGCATGGGACAGTGCACACGGGAATGTGCCTCTGTGTGTGTCTGAGCACGCACACATACCTTGGCATGTGTGTGAGCATG